AAATATGTTGGCATATATAATATATTACATGTTAACATACGTATTAACATAAATAATATATTTTATTAAAAGTAACTATATTTTCCCAAAAAAAATTTAATGAGAGGATTGGAATTGTTTTATATATTTTTGCAAATCTTTTTAATGTGTGGCTTAATAGAAGATAGCTGGATTCTCATATCTGCTTCTACATTTGATCAATTGAGATATGTTATTGTGGTCGAAGAAAATCTGGTCTCATACTGATATCTAGTTGCAAAAGAGAAAAAATATTTTAATAGGCAAATACAATATTAGTATTATTATCAATAGTTTTGACCTTGCAGACTCCCTAAAGGGTCAGTCTTGTTGATCCCCAGGAGTGCTCAGACCATACTTTAACTGCTTCCCCTAGAACGTTATCTCCCTCAGCCCTCCATCAAGGGCCAGCTTTGGATTCAGGAAAAACTGATCTTAAGTCATGCCTATGATGAATGCTGACTGTGTGACCCTGAGCAAGTCACTTTACCTCTAAGGACCTAAGGAAACTCTCTAAGACTCGCAGGAGAGCAGTATCGTTGGGATATGGCCAATATGGTGATTTATTTTACTTTTCTATACCTATTTGTTAGAAGAATTTGTTTTTTCCTTTTTTTTTCCAGGATGAGAATTTGGGGAAATGAGGTTTATTGGGTAGAGAGGGAGAAAAAAATAAACGCTTGAAAATAAAGAGGAGGAATAACATTTAATTTTAAAAAGGTAAATTAAAGGAAGGACAACCTGAAGCTTTGAGTAAAATCATATTTCTGGGAAACGCAGAGAAACTATGAAATACTAGCTGTTTTTAAGAAAGAGCAAATTCACTATTTCAAGAAGTTGGAAGGATGGCAAGATATCAACAGGGCTATTAGCAGCATCCTAGTCCTGTTTATTTATCTGCTCAAGAAACACGTTTGCATCAAATGTAAACACTCTCTTGGTCTCTTGTAAGTGCTGATGAAATGAAAGCAATAAAAGTATTCAAACAGTCTGCCTTTTCCCAGCTGACTCAAAAATAAATCTTGTCAGAGATAAGTATCCCCTCACTTTTTGGATCTTGCTCTGGCTACTAATTTAGCAGATCATGAAGGTCACCCTGGTGTAATAGTAGCAATATTAACTCTAAAAATACACTGTTTGTATCCAATTATAGGACACTACACAATGAGTATCAGAAAGAGAGCCTTTATGAGTCCCAAGTCATTCACCAAAGACAGAGGTCGCAGATGTTGATCTAGAAGGGACCTCAGATGCTACTGAGTCCACCTCTCTTTGTAGAAGAGGAAACTGAGACTCAGGTATGTTAAGGGACTTGTCCAAGGTCTCAGGGATAGTATGTGTCAAGTGGAATTTGAAGTATTATTTTGACATCGGCACCCAGTCTATCTGTTTCTGTTGCAATACAAATATAAAAATCTTTCTATTCTATTTCCTCATGGAATTTCCCTTTCCTTGTCCAACTTTTTCTATTCCAAATCCTTCTTCCTTCTGCATTAGAGGAAAGGGAGAAAGATTTCTTACCACAAGGAAATTGGGAGCTACCATCATTATGTGACCTTGAGCCCCTGCAAAGTGAGGAAAAGGGGAAGAAGAAAAGTCAACAGAGTCTATCCACAGATTCTGGTAGTCAGACTGTCGTCCTATTCAAAGGGACAGAATGCCAAGATGAAGTTAAATTCATAAAGTGTTATGGGACCAGAAGCTCAGAATTGGAAGGGACATTAGAGGGGCATATTCAGAATACCTGAACCCACTACTTTCAGAGGCCGCTCATTCCATTTTGGGATCTCTTTATTTCCTTACGTGACATTTTCTTGAGGTCCTTCACCATCCCAGTTTCTTTCTCCAGCACGTCAATATCCCTACTAAAATGTGACTCACAGAACAGAACACAATACTCCAAATATGCTCTAAGTATAGTTGACTATTTTCTATCACCCTTGTGCAAGGCACATCTTGATGTTAGTACCTTCTCCCTGTTGATTATCTCTAATTTGGTGTTCCAAAAATCTTAGTGAAATTTTAAACTATTAAAGCTTTAAGCTTTAATAGCTTAATACTTCAGTAAGACTTTTGGGATGATACCTTGTATGTCTTATTTATACACAATTGTTTGTGTGTTGTTTCCCCATTAGACAGGAAGAACCTTGAGAGTAAGAACTGTCTTTTGCCTTTTTTTAATATCCTTATCACAGTGACACAGTACTGGTACATAGTAGTCATTTTATAAATATTGTTTGCCTTTTGTTGTCAAAGAGGACCATGACATCAGGGAGGTGATGCCATGACGTGCAAGTAAATTGGATTTAAGTGATGGAGGGCTGTGCAAAGTCACCAACCTCACTTTCACCTCTGGATCCAGTGGCCAGATATAGATCAGGACAACTGGAGATGGCCCAGGATGCAATGGGAGCTTTAGCTTTTCAAGCTAAAGTCTTTAACAGGTCTTAGTTTGACTGAGGCAATGCCCATTCAATGATTAGGACTTAATAAGAAATGAGGCAGAGAATGGCTTCTTTACCTACTCAATAAATAAATAAGAAAAATTGAAATAAATTTTAAAAAAACCTCAATCTGGGAGGGAAAGATCCGAAGGGTTTCTGGCCAAAATAGAAACAATTGCTATTTACATTCACTCTGAGCCAATCCAGACCAAAACAATAACCAAGTAGGGTTTGGCCCGGGACCTACAAATGTTAATTGACTGTCAAACACCCTAACTTTGACTAGGAGAAGTTGAAAGAGAGATGTGGTTCATACTCCACTAAAAGGAGGGCATGGATTTTTACTATTTCACAAAAAAATTATAAAATTATGAATATTTGACTTACAAACACCCATCGCTGCCCCCTGACAAACATAACTGTAAATAATAGCTATCACCACAACCCTTGATTCTGCTGCTGATTGGGGAGCTGACCAAATGGAGAAGCTACATTCCAGCTACCATCTTCCACAACCCCCACCTCTGGTCTCAGGGTTCAGCTGTATTTGGGGGAGGGGGAAAGGAATTCAAGATTCAGAAGGGCTTAGGATTTGGGGGCTTCAACTATTATTATATATAACACACTATTATATTATAGATTAAATAGGTTTATAAGTTCTTAAGCTAACCCCAAAAGTCTATAATTATTTCCGTGAGAAAATTCACTACAAGTACCTGACAATCAATTGACAAATGAATTTTTGGAGTATTATCATGAATGAGCCGTGAATTTCCTATGCACACACTATAGAATGTCCTCATAAAAGGTTTATTACAAGGATTAGGATAGTCCAAAATGCTATGTCCTTAGAATTAAGTGCAAAAAATAAGAGCCTACTGTAATATGAAGACCACATGATACCTTATTTGATTCCTACTGGCTGATAATACATTCCCTCTATCCTCCCCCCACCAAAAACAAATTACCTAGAATCTACTTTGTATGTATTAATTAAGTGCATGTTGTCTGTTCATGGAATAAGCTCCTTGAGGACAAATAATGCTTTACTTTTGTCTTTTTCACTTCAGCACCTAGCACCTTGTCTGGTAGATGGCAGATGCTTTAATAAATGTTTGTTAATCAATTGATTGAGATAGGATATCAGTCTTGCTTGTGACATCATTGTTAATGAAGGAGTTAGGATCATAGATCTATATCTAAATGGGAGTTCATATTAAGTCTAAATCATTCATTTTATGGTTAAAGGAACTAAGGCCCAGGGCAGCTAAGTCATTTGCAAAAGCTAGTAAATTTCAAGGGCAGAATCTGTACATTCACTCACTAAGCAGATTTTTATTGTACTCATACTTCTAATGGCCTTTTTTTTAAGAGAGTAACTTGGTTGTGTCCACGCCTAGTGGTGGACTGTATTTCTCTTATCTAAGGACCAGAAGAGCTACGTGCAGAGAGGCTTACCCCAGCATTACGGTCAGGGTGATAATTTTTTGGGGGCTATGCAAATTCTCATCTACTAAGTTATAAAAGGTTACAAACTATATCAGAGGACAGAGTGCCCATTCCAGTGAAGTCATAGATCTCTGAAGAACTAATGTGCTGGGGATTTAAAAAAAAAGTCAATTATTTACTTTTTCTATCTGCAACAGCAACATGTATACATAGTTTTTGCTGAAGAGAATTAGAAATCACATCTATGATTTGAAATTATACAAATCTTCATTCATTAGGATGTCAGTTGCCTATCTGTGGGATTCAGAAGGGAATGTGTCTTTGAATCTTTGATGTTGCGTTGTGGCAGGGGTGGGGAACCTGTGCCCTCAAGGCCACATGTGGCCCTCTAGGTCCTCAAGTGAGCCCTTTGACTGAATCCAAATTTCACAGAACAAATCTTGTGCCCTGTTAAATTTGTATTCAGTCAAAGGGCCACACTTGAGGACCTAGAGAGCCACCCGTGGCCTCCAGGCCCCAGGTTCTCCACTCCTGCCTTGTGGCATCAGTACCATTGCTGGAAGACAATAAAAACAACAGCAATTAAGAATTAGATAGCCAGGTACTATGCTAATTGCTTTACAACTATTATCTCATTTGATCCTCACAACAACTCTAGGAAGTAGGTGGTGTTATTATTATCCCCATTTTACAGGTGAGGAAACTGAGGCAAACAGAAGTTAAGTGACTTGCCCAGGGTCATACAGCTAGTAAGTATCTGAGGCTGCGTTTGAACTCAGGTTTTCCTGATTCCAGGTCAAACACCCTATTCACTGTATCACCTCGCTGCCTTTTTCTGAAGCACATGAAATTAGTCAGTGCTCTGAATATAATGCCACACTACATCAACCAGTGGCTCAATGAAGCCCAACCTCATTGTGGTCCAATGGAGGATGGAGAAATCCATCCTAAAATAGTTCAGCCTGCAACAGTCCAGTTGATGAATCCAAGGAGCTTCCTCTATATTATACACTAAGATTGTAAACAGAATCCCAGCTAGTCCTTCTGTACACTTTTCCTCCTCATCAAAGCTTTGCTTGGATAACTCACCCCAACAAACTTCCTAAGAAATTCCCGGGAGGCGTGGATATCTGTGTTAGACAGTTCAATGTAATCTCCCATCATCCCTTCTTCTGTCGCCGGAACTTCACTGTAGAAAAGCTTTGCTCTGGCATAGAACTGCATCTCACCATTGATGACTTGGCTTGTTAAAGCATAGAGTTTCACTGCAAATGAAACATCACAAATGATCACGGGATATGGGTTACATCTTGAGTCAGTTCGCTATTGATGTCTGTAATTCCCTAAGAAGCCCCAGGATGTGGCTATGCAGTAACTGTGACAAAGGACAATCAATCAGTAGGAAATGATTGAATGTCCCAGAGAAGAAGGAAAAGGAAACAGGTACCGTGCCAACTCTGCAATCACAAGGGAAGTGTGATTTTTTTAACCTCTTACTTTTTGGTTAATCTTAATTTCATTTTCAGAGGCTGAAATTGGAACTGCTGCAATTTCCTACTATATTTATATTGTATTTTTTAAGTAAAAGACATAAAGGTGCCTTCTAAATAGACTGCCTTATTTGGCTGATGAAGACAGGGACTCAACATAATAATTTGGCAATTTAAATATAGAAGGGTATAGGACCAGCCCAATATATCAAACCAACTATTCACATAGGCTCAGCATTGTTTTTCACAATAATGCTCTTTCTAAGTCAAAGAAATCTAGAAATCAGATCATCTACTTGGAATATCAGGCATTGTTGTTCACATTTTGAAAGTCTATAAAGCCCAAAGGATAGCAAAGCATAAACTCATAGAATTTAGAGATAAAAAGGATATAAATATTATTAGTCCAATCCTCTCATTTTCCAGATGAGAAAACAATTGATAGGGTTTGTCTAAAGTCACACCAGTCTTAAGTGACAGAGCTAAGGTTCAACCCAAGTCTTCTGACTCAAAATCTACTCTCTGATACACCATGCTGACCTTGTATGTTATTGTGCACAATTTATATCTTAATCAGCCAATTAATAGATAATAGTTGAGTAACTGATAGGTAACAAAGCATTTTGGGAACTTTTAGAAGACTAAAAATAGTGCCTGCCTTTTGAAAGCCTATGGTCAAACTGGGGGACTAAGGCAAACTATTTGAATACAGTCAAAAAACATTTATTAAACACTTTCTGTGTACTAGGTTTTGTTCTCAGTGCTATAGGGGTTCAAAAAGTTAACTAACGAGGCAGTTTATTTATGACATTGGACATCACTTCATAGACTTGGGTTACCACTAAAGAGGCTTTCTTTTTTACTTTCCTTCCGGAATCGGCTTGGTAAATGAGAGTGCTTAGAGCCTAAGGCCTAGTGGTCCTAACAACCAGACTTTCCTTAGGCGTAACTAAATGAGTTAAAGAGAATAGGGCACATTTCCAATTCCCTTATGCTTATCTGTGAAGATAAAACTCTGTGTAAAAACAAACAAGCAGAAATAACAAAAATACTCACAACAGGATAAATGGCAAATGTAGAAACAGCAGCTCTTCCTAAACCTTACAGAGTTCTTTCATGTGGGCTCTCATGACTAATGGGGTTGAAACTTTGGCTTAAGTTCTCCCCAAGGTCAGATATTGGATCCCATTGTCTCAAGTCTGATTTTTCATGCTTGTTTTTCTTCCATTTCAGTAAGATAACAGTGATGTCAGGTGACATCTTCATATTAACCTTTGGCTGAAGCAGAGTTTATGTTCCTTCTGCTTAGAGCTCCTATGACTATAGGCAATGTTCTGGTCAACACCAGTGATTCTAGGATAGTAAGTGGTTACCACTTATTATCCTATTTATTCTAAGTTTGAGTTGCTTCATTCTTATTGACTACCTAAATGACTCTGGGTTAAAGAATAGGACCTTAAGACTGCAAGTGACTGCAAGGATCGTGTAACCGAATGCCTTTTTTCTTTTTCTTTTCTTTATTCAGACCTATGATTTCATCAGTCAAGAAGTGGCCTACAAACTTTTTTGATCAGATACTCCTATCAGTAAAAAAAAAAAATTGAGTATACATCTCCAAATGTTTAGTTGTATTTTTAAGATATATCGATGTGCATGTATTAATAATTATAAAGAGTAATAATAGGTAAGGTTAAGTAACAGGTAATCATACTATCATTAGGCATTAATAATCCCAAATATTAAGTAGTAATAGGTATTATTACCTAATAATAGTATAATATTAACCTATTATGGGCTACTAGGTAATAATATTATAAAAGTACATATAAGTAATTGAAAATGAATAAGATAAATATGAAATACTTAATATTTTATTTATTAATACAAAATTCATTTTTGCTTTCACTTAAATATCATTGCTAATAATTTAGTAAGAGCAATGTGGCTTAATATCCTTCATTATTTTGGAAAATCTTGATTTAACACATTATGATACCATAATTTTAAGATCTGATTCTAAGTTCGATTTCAATACTTGGCATTAATGAAATAACAATAACAGGTAGCATTTATATAGCACTTTAAAGTTTGCAAAGGGCTTTACAAATATCTTCCCATTTTATTCTCACAAAAACCCTAGGAAGTAGGTGCTTTTATTTTCCCCATTTTACAGATAAGGAAAATGAGGACTACCGAAGGTAAATGACCTGCTCTGAATCACACAGCTAGTAAGTATCTGAGGCAGGATTTGAACTCAGGTTTTCATGACTCAATATCTAGAGGATTATCCACTTAGGCACCTAAATTAACTTTATTTCAATACTTGGGTTTAATGGTTGTCTGAAAAGGATAATTCACAAAGACCTCTATGTCCAAGTCCAAGTGAAAGAAGAGCGTCATTGGCTACATTGAATCATGATGCTCATTGTTCAGTCTCATCTACCAGTCATGCAGAGTTTTTAAATGGAAATTTGACTAACAAATTCCTAGCTTCCTTTGAATGATTCAAATCAATTGTTCTTGCAAATAATCACAAGGTGCCATTATGGTTTCTGCTTTTAAAAAAAGGAGTTTAAAAACCACTAAAACTCTTCATTTGGAAGGTTTTTAAAATAGGCTAGAAAACAGTTCCCAAGTTTTTAAAGTGTGTAAACATGACATAACAGTTTTTACATGACATCCTTTTGTTGTTTTCACCAATTCAGAATGAAGAAAACATCTATCAAGAATAAGTGATCAGCAATTTCAAATGATAAAGAGAGGTCAAGAATGATGAGGATAGAAAAAAGGCCATCAGATTTGACAAATAATTAGTAACTTTTGAGAGAGCAATTTGTTTTGGTGAGGAATCAGAGATAAAACAGAAGCTGATGATCTGGAATACTGGAATAGTGGTACCCTTGAAGGAAATAGATATCCTCTGGAGAGGGGAATATTGGAGAAGAGAAGGTGACATAATGAGATCTGCAGTGCAGATTGTATCTCTTCCACACCTGCACATTTGATGCTACTCACTCCTTCCCACTAAAGAATGGAAAATGTAAGGGGGGGAGAGAGTAGGAAAAGCTGAAGGCACCTGTGATAGCCATGAAAAAATCTGATTGGTAGGGTTGGGGGATGCTGAGGGAAGAGGAAGGAAAAGAATGTTGCCTGTATCTAGTAGTAATACTTAGATTATTACCACCCCAATTGAAAGTGATGGAGTGGAGGAGTATTGCATTTTCATTTTAATGATTGTCATAGCCCAAAAAGATATTTCAAGAAGACACAGATCTTAATGGAAGAAGTGAGTACATCATTGAAGAGGGTCCTAAAGTTGCTAGGAACTCATTTCCCCATCCTTTTATTGATTGATCACACATCCTTTGTGTTCATGCTACAATTCTCTTGGAGTCATGCCATACCATCACCCCCCACCATGACACCACTTTGGGTACCAGTTTCCCAGAAACGAAACTTATTCAACCAACACAAATTGGCAACTGCTTTGCAATTTGTAACCTAAGGCAGCTGAGAAGTGACTTGCCCATTTTTATACCCCCAGTTTGTGGGACTTGAACCAAGTTCTTCCTAATTCCAAAGTCCGTTCTCCATCCACCATGCCATACTACCTTCATATTACAAGAAATTTCATCTAATCATTGGGCCTTTATTTCTTGAAAGAGGCTCAGAGAGGGGAAATGATTTGTCTAAGGTCACATGGCTAGTTAGTGACTGAGTCAGAACTAGGTCTGTGGTCTCCTTAATCCCATTCAATGCTCTTTCCACAATAAACACACACTACCTCCCCTGTGGAGTTCAGTATTGGTTTGACCTTCACTATAGAGTATTGCCAGTGACAGATTCCTGAGATCTAATCAAATAAAGCTGAGATGTCAGAAACTAGTCATGGCAGAAAGGCAAACCCTGGAGAGACCCTTTGTAAGTTATCTAAATAATAATATTATTTACTGTACATGGCTCCTTTCCCCCAAACAGCTCCAAGCTCAGTGGGGATCTGATCTCACTAATCCTTCCCACATCCCTGTGAGTTGGGGTGTGAGGCCAAAAACAGCCACTTACACTTTATATAGCAGGGGGTGGTAATTCAGGCCAGGCCTCCTGACAACACCTAGAATGAAGTTCTATTCATTAGACTGAACTGGCTCACGGAACTTTCAGATGAGTCCTCCTTTTCATCCAACTCACTCCAAGCCCCACCTTCCTTTTAGCCTCTCAAAGCACTTACGAATTTTTTAGGTTTAGAATTGGCAATCTTTGATGTAACCAGATATCTACTCTAAAAAATTAGTTTCATAAAACGGTAACCTTATTCCAGTCTGGAGACAGATTTAGGAATGAGGGATGCCCCAAGTTCTAAATAACTTAATCTCTGACCCATCAACCTTCCCTGTGTCCTTTCTATCTGGGTTCTTAGGACATCAGTAAGAGGACTGAAGATGTAGAATGTCATGCTGTACTGCACAATTGTAGTCTAATTTATGACATTTTATGTCAGACATTTGCGTCTTACACTTCCACAGACCATGCAGGCTCTAGGCATCTATGGGCTGAATGAAATGATCTACTCATATCTGAGTAATGGCATAATGAATTTGGAGTCTTTTTGTTTTTGTTTTTGTTAGGTAATGGGGTTAAGGGACTTGCCCAGACTCACGCAGCTAGTAAATGTTATGTGTCTGAGGCTGGATTTGAACTCAGGTCCTCCTGAATCTAGGGCTGGTGCTCTCTCCACTGCGCCACCTACCTGCCCCTGAGTCTGGAGTTCTTTAGGG